GCACATACAATTTGTATGCTCCAGCTTGAGGGGAGTGTTAGAGTATTTACCCTATTTATCATGATTATATTATGTCTAGAATTACCCTATTTATCATGATTATATTGTGTCTAGGGTTATCTTATTTATCATGATTATATTGTGTCTAGGGTTACCTTATTTATCATGATTATATTGTGTCTAAGGTTACCCTAATTATCATGTACTCGTGTATCAATTTATTTTTATAAATAGAAGATTATCAGAGGGATCAATTAAGCCCTCAAGAATTATTTTACAGTTTAATTCTCAAGTGATGTCAACCCTCAACTGAAAACTATTTTGATACAATCACAGGGATAGAGTGGAAGAAAAGCCCAATCTTGAAGAACATGTTGTGTCTCCAAGTAGCAGCCATCACATTGCAATTAGTGGTGGATATCTCTTCAAATTTCACGCCAAATTTGGATTTTCATGGCTGCTAAAGCTATCTTCAAGTCGAACTTAAAAATAAAACTCTTAAAAAAATGTTGCTTTTTAGGGAGCATTTCACTTGTGGTGCTAGCTAACATAGAAATGGTGGATCCAGTCCTAGTTAGGGTTCAAGTAGTTTTTCTCTTTTTTTATTTCCTAGAGTTATTCCTATTTGAGTCCAACATTTTGTGGTGGGTTTACTTAAACGGATTAATATGAAAGAAAGAAAAATTTTATTCAAATTTATTAATTTGAAATAGTATATTAACATCTATATATAAAGAACTTTAACCCTAAAGTAATAATTACAAAGAGATCTCTAGAATCTTCTAACAACTTATATCAACTTCAAGTAATGCATTTAATATCCTACTAACATCACTTCCCCTCAAGTTGGTGACTGGTATCCATCATTCCCATCTTGCATGTGAGATCATGAAATTGCTCAGTGGGAAGATCTTCTGTATATAGATTTGCTAATTGAAGTCCAAATAGGACGTAAGAAGTAGTGATGAGGCCACTATCCAATTTCTCTTTAATAAAGTGTCAATCTATTTGTGTTTGGTACTATGTCATGTTGAGATGGATTGTAAGCAATGCTAATAGTTGGCTTATTATCACAATAAAGGATCATAGGTTCTTCACATGTCACTTTAAGATCATATAGAATACTTCTCAACCATAACAATTCAAACACCCCTTGTGCCATGGATTGGAATTCAACCTCTACACTAGACCTTGCAACAACATTTTGTTTCTTACTTCTCCAAGTCACCAAATTTATACCCAAGGACATGCAATATCATGTGATGGATTTCCTATCTGTGACAGACCCTGCATGATTTGCATCAATATACACTTCCATTTTTTATTTTTCATTTCTTTTGAATAATAATTCCCTTCCTGAACTTGTCTTCAAATGTCAGCCTTTAAATGTCTCTCCCTTGCATCATGCATGAACGGACTAATGACCCTCAGAGCATAGGTTATGTCCGATCCGTTGAGCTATGTAAAAGAGTTTCCCAACAAGTCTTTGATATTGACCTTTATTCACCGTAGGGCTGCCTTTATCACTCCCTATTCTATGGTTTTGTTCTATAGGAAATCCAATGGTCTTGCAATTTATTAGTATTATATGTTTGTCTATAGTGTTGTAATTTTTTGTACTCTGTTTTTAGTTATTTTTCAGGAGTCTTTGTCTATTTTATTTAATAGATTAGTTACAGTTCTAGGAAATCACATTGGTCTGTAACTGCTCCAACCCTCTCTCAACTGCTATGTAACTTCCTCTCCTCTTTTATATGTTCTGCTACCGAACAGAACTGTAATAATCTTTTAGAGACTGCTAATACAGCCTGCACCTTTCCAGTCACATGACTGCCTTTTCTATTCTCTAATTCTTCAGTTCATCATAAAATTCTATTATGGTATTATGGTATCAGAGCTAGTTCATGATCTCCAATGGCCACTCCCAGTCCCAATTCCCTCCCTTCTCCCTCCCAACATTTTTCCACCACTGTTGCTGAAAAGCTTGATGATTCTGATTATCTTCAATGGAAGCAACAAGTTGAACCTGTTAGCAAGGCTCATAAACTCCATCCTATGAAGCCTGAATACAGCTCTAGTCCTCCGCTTCTCCACTTCGGAAGCGTCTCCAACACGGACATGCATACGATACGTGTACAATGTGGTCTGACACAGTGCATCAATCCAGACACAGTCCACTCTTTTGATGCGGCAACGGTGACGCGGTCAACCCTTACGATACGCTTAGGACACACGTAGCAGATTCATAGTAGTTAGAATCAATTGAATTCTTCGACTCGAATCGTGAATTGATTCAAAAATCTTCCTCTGCGATACATCTATTGAGTGTATCACTTTATAGCTTAGTGGAGCTGTCATGTTTAAATAAAAATAGAGATTCCTTAGCTTCCTCTTAATTAAAAGAGAACAATAAGACAAAGTGCTAGTGGCAACACCAACAATACAATTCCCACAATGGCAATCCGAGGAGCTCCAACAACAACTCCTACAAAAGATCAGAAGACAACTCCGACAAAGGTCCGACAATATATCTGACGACAGCTCCAACAAAGGTCTGACGACAACTCTGATGAAGGTCAGGCAACAGCTCTGGTGGCGGTTCCAACAAAGGTCTAGCGGCAGCTCTGCTGGACAGCAGGGTGTGGCAGCAGTGATAGAACCACAAGTTGGGTGCGACATGGGTGCCTTTCAGGCAACCCTGAAAGAAACTGTAACTAAGATGGTAAAGAAGAAATGTCGAAGCAGGGCTCCTAAGAACAAGAGCTTTGATACCAACTTGAAAGAATTAATATGAAAAAGAAGATTTTTATTCAAATTTATTAATTTGAAACCGTACATCAACCTCTATATATAGAGAACTCTAACCCTGAAGTAATAATTCCAAAGAGATCTCTAGAATCTTCTAATAACTTCTATCACCTTCAAGTAATACATTTAATATTATACTCACAACTTTTAGTGATGCATTTAATATCCTAGTAACATGTTTGTTGAACAAAAGAGAAAATTGGAAGAGCATAACTTGTTAATTGCGAACTTTATTTATTTTATAATATAATATAAGTTAAAGAATAACAATAATAATAATAATAATAGTAATAAAAGCATAATGTATGATAAAATAAACTAAATAATTTTAGTAAAAAATAAATGAAACATGATATATATATATATATATATATATATATATATATATATATATATATATATATATATATTTATATGTATATATATGAACGTAAACTGGTGCATGGAGGGGATCTTACTCATTTTTCTTCTTCTGTTTGGATTGATTGATGTTGTTTGACTGCCAAGATGTATGTATGGTGTTGTTGAGTGGTTGTAAAGCATATGAATGTGAACTACAATGATGTAATTGAGTATGAAGTGGACATCTCAGGGTGAGATGATTGAAAGTGATGTGTGGGGT